TTCATTTGTGGACCCCTAAAATATTTTGAATGGTTGTGGTGATCCCTTTGGAAATATCGAATGGAGATGCAGACCCCTTTAAATTGTAATTGTGGGTATTCTCATACTTTTGATTGTAGTCATCTTTCACGGACCCTTAGATGCAGCCTGCGGACCCCCAGGGGTTCTGGAGACCAGGTTAAAAACCACTGCTCTAAAAAATTGTCTGAAGATCCCTACATTGGCAGTGGTTGATTGCTGCTCCAACTGGCTGTAGTCTCTAACTGCTTTACCTGTAAAGTCTTCCCCCAAGGCAACTATGTAGAGAAGGGCAGGCATAACTAGGATCAGTGTTCCACCGACGCTCTAGGCATCTCTCTGTAGTTCTGTACATTCCCCCACCCACAGGATTTCACCTCAGTGTTTGAGGGGCCATGCTCTTCCCCCACCCCTCAGTTCTGTCTTGTGCCTGCCATGTGAGCTGAATGACCTTGGGGGAGGAGAGATTTATGTATACTAGGATGGTAGGTTAGGACCTTTGAGTATTTGAGACTCCTCAAAATTGGTTTATGTGAATGATCTGCATATGGGTATTCAACATCACACACTTCATGAATGATTCATAAATGGCTGTTTTTGTTCAATCTTAAATATGTCCTTTGAATATTCTTCTTAGCGTTTAATAGATTTGCAAGGAATAGGATTGTTGAACATATCTTCTTAGGCCAAAAATCCTACCCAGAACTCACTTTTTTGTTTCAAACTGGTGAATATTTTTTAATAAGCTACTTCCACACCAAAGCATAGAGAAGAGGCAGGAAAGACAAATAGTTATGTTAAATTTGAGAACAACCTATTAGGAAGGTACATTACAAATAATCAAAACTTAATATTATGCTTAATATTTTCTCAATCTGGATGTGTTGTCATCTCATCATCACTTCTGATGAGATGACAATTTCATTATACAGCGTGTTTTTCATGGGGAAGATGTGAATCAGTGACACGTCTGTTTTAAAACCAGAGAGTTCAGCATCATAGCTAGATAGTTCAGCTCTTCTCTTGGCTCTTCTTTAATGAAAACATTTCACAGAAGAATCTAGTAATGTTCCCTTCCATCCATGTTTTGCTGATGGGGGAATCCCAAATCGGCTACTTGATGGCAAGACTTTATGTAATGATTAGACTACTCACTTAATCTCCTCTCTTCATGTAAATATCCCCCCTCTCAATCAGTTGGTTACAAGTCAGTAGTAACATAATGCAGCAGCCTTGACCTTGGTAGATGATCATTGCCAATAGCTTAAAAACACATAGTCCAATTCCCAGAAGCTGTGACACCCCTCCAGCAGGCACTGAGCACAACCAGAGTAGAGACCCAGTCTCCCTGTCATTTCATGTAGCTATCAAGGGGCGCTTGTACATGTGATGATGTTACCATATATACCTGACAAAAATTTCCCTTTGTGTGGCTTAATAGCATCACACTTTACCGGTATGCAATTTTGCCGGGTTTTAAATGAGTTTGCATTGTCACAGTCTAAACCACATCGTGATGTAATTTAGTTTGTAACATTGCAACTTGGAATCTTGCAGCCATTAATCTGTCAGCTCACCCCCCCAGCCACAGGAGAGGCAGGCAGGCTCCACTGAGAAAAAGGATCGGGCCCCTCACCACTTCTGCCTTCAGCAGGCTCCAGCAGCCAGCAGGATGCCTGGAGCTGCCCGGGAATGGGCTGGCTTGCCCCTGGGGCAGTGCAGGGATGCAGCAGGAGGGCGGCTGGGTGTGCTGGCAGCTAGAGAAGGCGGCAGGGCCGGTCCAGGGGTGCTAGAAGCCAGGGTGGGTTTGGGGAAGAGTTGGATGGGCACCTCCAAGCTGGAGCAGCACCCAGCCCCCTACCAGCCCACCTGGGCAGCCCTGCATCCCATGCACTGTCCCTGACACCTTTTCTGGCTGCCAGCACACCCAACCACCCTTCTACCACCTCCCTGCACTGCCCCAGGGACAAGCCAGCCCGTTCCTGGGCTGCCCCAGGCATTCTGCTTGCTGCAGGAGCCTGCTCAATGCAGAAGCAGTGAGGGACCCAATTCTTTTTATTCTGCAAAGCCTGCCTACTTCTCCCATGGCCAAGGCATGAGCTAACAGATTAATGCCCCCTCCCTGCCACCGGAGAAGCGAGCAGGCTCTGCCTTTTAAAAAAAAAAAAAAAAAAAGAAAGGGGGATTGGGCCCCTTGCCATTTCTGCCTTTCAGTAGGCTCCTGTGGCTTCCAGGACAATGACATATATACAGTAACAGAAAAATAAAACCCACCATTTCAATTAAAAACTCATCGTTTCAATTTACGGGGCATAGAATGCAACCCTGAAAAACTAAACCCCTATCCCGTGTCCAAAAGCCCAAGAAGGTTTCCAAGTCTGTTCAGGCTTCATCTTCATATTAAGGCCAATCATTTTCTGCATCCCTTAATTCGATTGCTAAAATTCATACATAGCATTATTAACCCCAGGTAACCTCTACATTTTACCAGCTACGTTCTGTCACCAGGTCAACATTCCTCTTTCCTGCCCTCCTCCCCTCACTTACCTCTCTCCCACCTTTTATCTCCATCCACTCTGATCCTCCCTGCCACACATTTGCATTTTCACAAACCTGCATTTTGCATATTGGCTTACACTTCTATTCTACCCAGGATAGCACACAAACACCAGCTGACTCTACCTATGCCTGAGGAAGGGTGCTTTTGCCCAAAAGCTTATAAAGAACAATTTTTCCAACTATTTAACTGGTCTAATAAAAGATATCACATTTACCCAAAGAACCTTGTCTAGCATTGTTAATACATTTTGAGGCAACTTCATAATGCTGCACTTTAGTAGGCAATTCCTTTTTGATTTTTAAGTAGCTTGCAGAAGCTTTATTGGGAGATTAAGTGCTTCAGGTAGTGATTTTGTTTACATGCTTCCTCAAAGGATGAACTGTGGGCACAGAGGAAAATGTACTCCGTACATATGTCTACCTGCGTATAGATGGAAACTCATAAAGAATTGCTCTGTAAATATGCCAGCACCAGCTGTTTATTGTGATGCAAACTGTGGCTATGGATGTTTTTGAGAGACAGTCTTGAGACACTAACTAGTACAGCAGAATCATTTTAAGACTTTGTGATTAACTGTGAGGACGATAGAATAAAAATAAGTTGGGGGGGTTCTCTGAGCCACATGGCCTATAGCAGATTAAGGCTATTTTTCTACAGTCAGTGTCAATGAGAGTGAGAACGTGTTACAAAGTTTCTGCTTTTAAAATTACCCTGTTGTTCATGCATATCCTGCTAGTAACTTTCTGAAATCAGTATTTTCTCAGGTGACCTGTGTTTATACTACCACTGTTGTTTCTCAGAATTGTAGGCAGACTTATTTAGCAAACTGTGTTGATCAGACTGATTTCTTATCTGTCTATGGACAGTTAGTTGAACTTCAGAAAAGATCCTGTACATGATTATCCAGGGGATGTTCCTGTTTGTTCATTTGTTCATTTGCTTGCTTTACGGAGGAGAACAGGGAAGAGATAACAAATGACCAGAGGTCTGGGACTGGTGACAACACCCCTTTATGGTCTTGAAACCTTTTCTTAATTTCAGCTGCCTATTCAAATCAAAGCTCCTCTTCTAGTTTTGTTTATGGAGTCAGAATGGGGCTATCTCTTTTGCCACTTTGAAAAATAATGGATAAAATGCCCAGCATTCCCCTGGCAAATGGCATCACTCTCTCTCTCTCTCTCTCTCTCTCTCTCAAAAAATGATTGAGGTAGCTAAAACACAGAACGGGCATCAGAACTGATTTTTATGCCTAGCTCTTATGCAAGCTCAGACACGTCATTTAATGATTCCTGTGCCTATTTTCCTGCCTTTAAAGCTAATGCTTCTCCCTGAGATGCTATAATTGTTAATGAATTAAGTTTTGTGAAGTGCTTCAGAGTGTTTTCTCTAGAAATTCAAAGTAGTATCACTCTGAAAATTACTTCTGTCTTGGGTACGGGCAAAGGTCCCGCTTCGCATATTTTGTTCGCCCCTCAAGTCAGAAACCTTTTGCCAGTATTTGGCAAGTCAACAAATCAAGATTTTCCTTAAATATGAGGAATCCTTTAATGACGCATTCATTTTTTACTGCTTGGTGCAGTTGAACTGCTCCACTTTTGAACATAGTGATGTTTATTTCTTGAATATCCAGCTAGAGGGATTACAGTTTAGATTTTTTTTTTGGTTTTATTTATAATGTTGACAGGGCTTGGTCACATGAAACTAAGTTTTAGTTGTAAGAAAATACACAAAGATGATCACTCGCACAGTATCAGACTACACAGCAATTAAATATAATAGACTAAATATGACTAGACAGATTTATGAATTTGGAAAAGGAACAGTGTGAGAGTAAGCTATATAAAGAATGTGTTTTTCTGAAATTTTTTTCATGAGTCTTCCATCTTCAGGATTTTACTCAAAAACAAGCATAACTTAGGGTATAAAAACTACTGCTAAGGTATGAACTATTTTTCCCTTGGAAAATGCATTAAAAATTTTCATCTTACAGTCAGTTGCAAGTTTAAAAGAATCTGATAGCATTTTTCCTTTACTACCCATTCTTTTCCCTTGTGTTGTCTCAAAATGACATACCAAGTACTGAACAAAACCAAGTAACTTTTTTTCTTGCTGTGCTGCTGTGAGCAATCTTGGTATCCCTTAATAAAGTGGCCCTAATTATTTTTTCACAATGGAGACTAGATGAAATATTAAGGATTTCTATATGGAGCAGTTTCTTGCTGCTGATAATTTTCTATGGATTAAGATAATGTGGTTTGGTTGGGTTTTTTTAAATGTAGTCATTTGTGCTTTATTTAAAGTCAAATCTTTGCAGTGTTGCAAAATCCAGTTGTCCTTGCTGAATTGTTTTGAAGTCTAAACGAACTGAAAATGTAAAAGTGAGCAAGATAATTAAATGTTATTTTTTTTCTTTCTCTTTTAGATTATCAGCGCCTGATGACAGTAGCAGAGGGTATTACCACTCTACTGTTCCCGTTTCAGTGGCAACATGTATATGTTCCCATTCTTCCTGCCTCTCTCCTACATTTCCTAGATGCTCCTGTCCCTTACTTGATGGGTCTTCAGTCCAAAGAGGGAACTGATCGTTCCAAGCTGGAACTTCCTCAAGAGGTAAATGTTGTATGGAGTTGTCAGCCTTTATGCCTTAAAGCTAAAAATACCTAATCTTTATTCTCTCTAGTTCCCAGGGTAAAGGTGCCACATCAAAAACAACTATATAAAATAACTTTGGCACAGATATGTCTCTGCTCAAGGGAGGATCTGGATGAGAGCATTGCAGAACTGAGAGCATTGCAGTTAAAAGATGCAATGGAAAAGTCTAAAGAGCACTTGTCTACATAGGTCTGATTTCACAAATGTTGTTAGTTTTATTAATTAACAATTCTTCTTTTCTGCTTCTTCCTCCTCCCAGGGGAGAGACAGGCTGCCTAAAGTTTATGAACATGGTACAAAAGAATCGGGCTGAAAAATGTCACTGTCTTGTGGGTATGAAAAGGGTAGATAAGAACATGCATATCTCAGGAGGTATTTCTATCTGTTTTGCTTCAGACTTTCCCCAACTTCAGTTAACTTTGTCAGGGTCACAGTCCTTTTGTCAGAGGATGAGATGGGATTCCATCTGGTGACAGCCTGTTAGAATTGATGCAACAGTTGTTGCCAAGTGATATAGGCTTTTACATATTCTTCTCTCTATCCCCACACCCCTAGCCCATGCAACGGGGTAGAGTAGGCTTTTTTTCTCTAGTACTGAATCCTATCTAGCTTTGGGATGAACACTCAAAGATTTAGGATGGCCCTGTCTCTAGAGGGCCATGGTGATCTTTATTTTATTTTATTTTTTTTTAAAGATCACTATGGCTGTCTAGAGACGGGGCCAACCTAATCCTTTGAGCGTTCATCCCAAAGCTAAATAGGGTTTGGTAGTAGAGAAAAAAAACTATATATCTGCCCTTCTCTACAAATTATGCTGCAAATAGCATGTGAATTTCAGCATAAATTACACAGATGCTAAACATGTACCCAATTTAAGGTGCCAAACTGCCAAACCAGCCATGACATTGTTCTGCCTTCTGTATGGAACAATTTTATGGCTAGTTTGTATGGCACCTTAAATTGAATGTGTGACCAGGCCAACATTCAGCTGACTTTTGGCTTAGGCTGAGGACTGCACTGGGGTCTAGAACTGATCCAAATGTGACCCAAGCGTGGTCCCCACAAGGTCAGCTGATTGTCAGCTCCAGACCCAGACCTGTGGGCAGCCAGCTTTCAACTTGCCAGTGCAGGAGGAGCAAATAATTTCAAAATCATACCTCTGCTGTGTACATGTGATATTTCAGGAGGCATGATTGTTGGGATCAGGGATCTGATCCTGTAGTGCATTGAAATGAACGTCTGCCAGTGTCTTAGATTTGCATTCCTACTGCATCGTAAAATGTTTTTAGACAAAGGTCTGTCCAGGGGTGCAGAACTGGATACTTACACAAATGAGTGAGAGAGTTTTAGTTTTTGTAAGAGGTGCTGAAATGACAGCCATGCACAATAAGGACCTTTTTCCTCCCAAAAATATCCTTTGGAAAGGGAAATTTCATCCTGCATTACCCTTTGTGTGCCTCCTGTCTTCTCTGATGGAATTATCTCTAAGAGTTGAGAAGATAACTAAGTTTCTCGCCTTGCTCAGTCTTTGTCTGTGAAGCCATTGGCTGTTGAGTTCATCCTCACCACAACTGTCAATGGTGGAGTGAGAGAAAGGTGTCTTTCTCCTGAGAACTATACGGAAATCATTAAACACCTGTCAAAGATATTCATCATAATGCTAAAATTTTGGACCATAACCCATCTAAGCCATATTCAGTGTGGTGACCTGGAAGTGAATGGCAATAAGTTGACAAGCCTGGCTTCTGAGCCATCCATATGGATGTACATGAATTATTACAGTTATTTGTTTTGCTAAAGTGCCTAGAGATCCTAGCCTGGTTGTGCCAGGTAGTATGTACAGACGTTGAAAAGAAATGATCACTTGAAAATTTTTGAAATTATGTACTCATAATTCAGAACTGGAGTAAGGAGCTGAGCAGGAATTGCGATGTTCTAGGCTCCCATGGAAATTTGGCCATATCACTAGGGAAGAGTATAACAGTATCACCCAGACATACAGGGAGAAAATCAGCAAGGCCAGTTTGCAGTTTAGGATGAGAGTGGCAACAGATGTAAAGGGCTGTACAAGTATGTCAGAAGTAAGAGGAAGACTAAGGAAAGTGTAGGCCCTTTACTGAATGCAGGAAGCAGGCTAGTAATGGATGATGCAGAGAAGGCTGAATTATTTAGTCCCCTTTTTACTTCATTCTTCACAAGTAAGGCCTGCTCTCAGATGACAGGTGAACTTGGCAATCAGAATAAGGGAGGAAATGAGCAGACTCAAGTAGTAGAAGTACTGTTCAGGGATTACTTAAAGAAACTGTATGTTTTTCAAGTTGACAGGGCCAGACAGGATTCACCTGGGTGCTGAAAGAATTGGCTGAGGTAACTTTGGAACTATTGGCTATTATCTTTGAGAACTTTTGGAGGTTGGGTGGCATCTCAGATGACTAGAAAAGAGCAAATATGCTGACCATCTTTAAAGAGGAAAGGAGGAGGATGCAGAGAATTACAGAACAGTCAATTTAACCTCAGTACTAGGAAAGATTGTGGAGCAGATTGTCAAGGAGTCTATTTTTAAGCACTTGGAAGAAAACAAGATAATCAGGAACATCCAGCATAGATTCATCGAAAGGAAGTCAGGCTTGGCCAACTTGATTGCCTTCTATGACAGTGACAGGCTCTGTGGGTTGGTAGCATTAATGGGGGGGGTGGAGGGAGGGGGGAAGAGGATATATGAGGGGTGCACCAGCCTTGGACACTCTTTAGAGGGGCACTGGAATTACGCTTCCCTTCTCCCAGAGTCCTTGCCACTTTTGGAGAAGCCCTGCCCTTTCCAGGCATAGAAGCCAAGGTGAAGAAGCCCTGTACCACCCAGCAACCTGACCACTACCCCTCCCCAGTGCCTGCACACCACAGCATCTGTGTCCTCCCACCCCTCCATGGTGCCTGCCCTCCACCACCTTCCCTGCTACTTGCCCCTCCTTGCCTGCACCCTTGGCACCTGGATTCTCTGCCTGCCTTCCCTCCTCTGCCACTTGCCCTCTGGCTCTGACTGCTGCAAGGCTTTGGCACCACTCCAGTCCAGCACACAGAGTACATGGTTGCTCCAGCTGCAACCCAGCTACATAGCAGCTGTTACAGTGGCACCTGTTCAGGTCGTAGCCTGGCCCTCAGAGCTGCAGGTACTGTTGCCACTACAGGCGTGCCCAGATTTGGAGCCACAGCACTTGCCCACTCCCTACAGCATTGTGCTTCAAAATGAGGGCCCATTTCTCCCATGTTAAATGGTGTGGCCCCTCATCTTGGATTTGAATAAATGTGGCAATCATCTTTCTTAGTGACTGGATTAAAAACTAGTTATTTTAAGAAAATAACAGTTTAATGTGGTAGCCTTGCAGTCCTCTTGGCATGTCAAATGAAATACTTCCAGCACAGAGAAAGTAGGACTTGAGAGGAAAAAAGACATTCAGTTGTTAAACAGCTTAGTAACTTAAAATGCCAGCATTTGTAAAAGCTATAATGCCCCAAACAGATTAGAGTCTAAACAAAACAGTTGCACTGTTGCTGTTTTTCAGGTGGGGTCCCCCTACCCTACCACATACACAGCCTATACTTTTTAGGAAAGCATATTAAACAGACTTCAATGGTTTATGTTCTCCCTTTTTTACATCCTGGCAATGGTTAATCTTTAAAAATGTTTGCAGTGCAAGATTTGCATGCTGCATGGCCAATGGAGTATAGAATAACAATAGGAGAACATTATATTTAATTGAGAAGATTTTGAATCTGGACTTCCTGTAGATAGTAAAAACAGAAAATCCTTCAACACATGAGCAATGATGAAATACTGTTCACTTTAGAATTCCTTTATTGTTCAAGCCAAGGGACAGCTTTTCAAGCTCTGGTCTAAATATAAACTGTTTGTGTGGTAGAGATAAAATTCTAACAACTGGCCATCATGCTGTCTTAAGGTTACTAATCTCTCAGTATTAGCTTTAATCATCAGGATGTTTTTGAAGAGGAAAGTGAGATGGACTCCCCAAGGCTTTTCTGAGCCCAAATCTCATTTTCAAATTTTGTAAATGGTATGCAGAGCTGAAATTAAAAAGCCTTTGAAATGAAATATTGATAGATAAGAAGAGTCTCTGCACTAAGAGCAAAAAAAATTACAACATCTCACACCATTAGCCATTTCAATATTATGTATGTTAAGAAAAGCAGATTGTTTTATACTGATCAACAATTTTATTTGAATGTGTTCCAACTTTATTATAGAAAACCATAATGATGGTGCACTTTACTTTTAACAAGTGAATCTTAATACCGTGGCTGGGAAGCATCCATGCAAAATGTGATTAATGTCAGAAATGTCCTTGAAATGAAATAATATTCTCTGAAGTAACTGTAGCCTATTGTTTAATTTCTGCTGGAGTGAATATTGCTCTGCTGAAAATTTAACCTCTTCAGAATATGTGGGAGGTGAGGGGTAGGAGGAGGAGGGAGTTAATTTCCTTAATGTAATCTTTGGATTAGCTCAGTTTCTTTGTTTAGAAGCGAGTTGCAATGAATGTGGACATCCTAGGTTCTAGAAAAACTAAAAGCATCCTGGTAACCATTTCCATGTCAGCTGAAAGACTAACAAGGGCATGCATTTTTTGCCCTCAGGGTATCTAGGTCTCCTGTTCCGCAGTTTTTTGTCTGGTTAGGGCATTTTAGAACACAGTGCACTTGAAATTATTATTCGTTTTAGCACTTCCTATTCAGCACAATATATTCACGGGCAGTGAATTTTGGATGCAAGCTGCAGTTCAGAAGAAAATTGGCTACTGTTTTTATTGTGCCATTCTTCCTCAGGGTGTACTTGCACTATATTATATTATATTATATTATATTATACACTCACACATATACACACACACACACACACACATGTAGTGTGTGTGTGTGTGTGTACATATATATGATGTGTTTCCTGTAAAGCTTCCAGAATGAAGAATCTGCTCTAGTAGACAAATGACTGTACATGGCTTTAAAAACAGGGACCAAATTCATCCTTTATTTTCACATAACTGTATAAAAAGACTTCTTGCTCAAAAATCTCCATGAGGATTTCATTGTGGAAATTCCTCTGGTAAGCAAGTTCTGTCCACCGGTAGACAGGCTGCCATCAAATGTGGATTGCCAGAGGGCCTTCGTGGAAACTCTGTGTGCTGCCCCTTTGTGGCCCTAATCCCAGCAGAATCGTCTCCCCACAGATCAGCTGAACAGCTCCTACTCAAGTGAGTAAAACCTGAGCTAGACTGAGTCTTGGAGCTAAGGCTTATGTGAAAAGAGGAGGGGCGCTGTGCATCTCTATCTTCCTTTTACAAATTGTGATGGGCCCCCTGCTGTTTGTACAAGAGGATGTTATTGCCTGGGCCAAATAGATGCCCCAATCCTGTATCAACTTGTATGACTCTGAAAGAAGTTCAGGAGAGCCCACTGATCTCTAAAATCACACAGTGTATTTCAGGGGTCAGCAACCCCCGGCACATGTGCCGAGCATGGCACTCAAGGCCATTTTGCTCGGCATACCACTGCCAGTCTGGCTTCTAGGCAGCTACTGCCAGCCACGAAGCCTGGGCTGCTGGGTGGCTGCAAGCCCTGCTGCAAGCAGAGCAGGCTCCGTGGTTGACAGCAGGTACCCAGAGCCTGGGCCAGTTGCAGCCAGAAGGCTGCAAACATCTGCTCTGGGCTCCAGCATTAGCTCCATACTGGTGGGTGCACACATACCTCAGAGCGCACAGTGGGGGAGCGGCCTGAGGCAGGACAACCCCAGCATCTCCCCCACTGCCGGCATAGAGCTGACGATAGGGCTTTGGAGCCCAGCGTAGCTGTTTTGTATCCAGCCTGGGCTCTGGGCAGCTGCAGCAGCTGTGTGGGGCTCCACAGCCCCGGCATCTGCTCCATGCCGGCGGCGACTGCACATGCACCTCATAGCGGGCAGCAGGAGAGCTGTGCTGCCTCAGGCCTTATCCCTACCATCTGCTCTGAGGTGTGCATGCACCCACCACTATGAAGCTGATGCCAGAGCCCGGAGCAGCTGTTTGCAGCCTCCCTGCTGCAGCCGGCCCAGGCTCTGGTAGCTGCTGCCAACCACGGAGCCCAGACTGCTTGCAGCGGGGCTTGCAGCTGAGCCCATCTGACTCCATCCTCTCCGAGCCCAGCCCCAGTCCAGCCCCCCACCAGGAGGAGACTAGCGCTGCCCTTTGCCAGGGGCACTGCACCTTTTGCAGGCTTAACTGTGCAGGGTGGGTGGGTGGGTGGGCGGGCTGATGGACAGGCTCCGGACTGGGGCCTTGGCCAGCTGCACTGCAGCCTGGGGGCTGGCTCCCCAGGGAAGCACAGGGGCTCTGGCGGGACCAGGGCATTGTTGGGTCAGACTTTGTCCAGTGGCCCAGGAGCCCGGCTCCGTGCACCTGCGCATCTGGCTCTGTGTGTTTGTCTGCCTCTGTCTGGTTCTGTGCGAGCACACATGTGTCTGGTTCTGGATGTGACTGTTCTGGGTGTGTCTGTTCTGGGTATGTTCTGGTTCTTTGTGTTTGTGCATGTGGTTCTGTGTGCATGTGTCTGGTTCTCTCTCTACTCTCCTTTTTCTTTCTCTCTCCTCTTTCTCTTATTTGTCTCTTTTTTCCTCTCTCTCTCATTGCAACATGCTCAACAAAAAAGGAATACACAACAACAAAGACAACATTTATGATTATTAAGTATACTAATATGCAATGTGTCCTGCCGTGTATGCCCCCGCCCTCATTTTGTTTTTCTGGCATGCCGGCACTCCGGCACCTTCCAAGGTAGACATTGTGGTTTTTGTCAGCACTCCGGCCAAAAAACGTTGCCTGCCCCTGGTGTATTTAATCACATACATAATTTGGGGCCTGTGTCTTAAGTAGGGAATCTGATGCATCTGTGCTGGACTAGAAGCATGGAGATGCTGTATGACTGCTGCTGTGCTTCTCTCCCTACCAGCCCTGGTGTAGGAGGGGTGGAATTCATTCTTCACTGTTCACACTTTCATAGCCACTGCCAAATTGGCAGTAACTTTTGACTAAGAACCCCAAAGCTGCTGCCAGTTCAGCAGTGAGTGCAAGAAGTTCAACTTCTGAAATTGCTGATGCTGCAGAGTGTACTCTGCATCTGCAGTCAGGACTTGGCCATAACTTTGGGGGGAAAAAATTATTACTGCCTTCCAAAAACAAGGTGCACATCTTCTTTGGGGGCATGAAAGAATATTGTGTGTTTAAAATACTGCCATCATATAGCACCTAACCTTGTTTCAATAAGAGTAGACTCTTGTATACTCAAACTAACATTAATTTCTGCTCATGACAACTTGCTTTCCTATATGGTCAATTGTTTTTACACAGATTTAAAACTTAATAAATATAGAAAGTGGATGTAGCCAGTTGAAACTGTAGGAATGTTTCATCAAGCTTATGTTTTGGGGAGTGTGTATGGAGGGGTAACAAAATAAAGAAATATCCAGTCTCGAAATGTGATGTGCTTGACCATTTTATGCAAGGGCTCTTAATCTGCATGTTCATTTGCATAGATGTGTTAGAAAACAGGTTAAGATCTGGGGATAATTTTCTAAGGTTGAGAAACAAATTTGACACCAACTTCCTGTTTTCAAAGACTTTTTTTTTTTTTTGTATTTCAGGCAAATTTGTGCTTTGTGGATATTGACAACCACTTCATAGAACTGCCAGAGGAATTTCCCCAATTCCCCAACAAATTGGAGTTTATTCAGGAAATCTCTGAAGTCCTCCTTCAGTTTGGAATCCCTCCTGAGGGAAACCTGCACTGTAGTGAGAGTGCCACCAAACTCAAGAACCTTGTCCTTAATGACTTGGTCAATGACAAAAAGAATGGGAACATACCCAGCAATGCCATCAACATGTATGAGCTACTAAAAGGCAACGAAACTATCGCCCGTCTGCAAGCACTAGCAAAGAGGACAGGCGTGACAGTGGAAAAAATGACTATCATGGCTCCTGTGGCAGAAAGGGGAAGGGATGTGAAACCACAGTGTGAAGAGGTGGAACTGAGGGACTACAAACTAAATGTGCAGATTCGTGAGGTCTTTGCCAACCACTTTACACAGATGTTTGCGGACTACGAGGCCTTCGTCATTCAAGCAGCACCAGACATGGAATCGTGGCTGACGAACAGGGAACAAATGCAGAACTTTGACAAAGTAAAATATTGACAGATATTTGTGTTTTGGGCTGAAAAATACTGATTTGGGGAAACAGGTTGAATAAGTAAAGTATAGTTGTTTATTCCCCTTTCCTCATCCACCTGGCCAATGGTTGGGTCTGTTTTGATATTCAGGGCCAGATCTTCAACCAGCATAAACTGGCAAAGCTCCAATGAAGTCCTTGAGGTAGAGCTGTGTGCTGACTGCCACCAGCTAAGAATCTGTAGGTGGCCTGTAGGTGTAAATATGATTGTAAGCAGTGATGAAGAACTAGCTGTGATTTTGCTCCATATCATAGCAATAGAAAAGGATTCTTATGCTGAGGAAATAGGTGCTTATAAAGATTTGAAATATAAATCCAGATATAGGAACTTAATTTTTTAGCAACTTTTCACTTGCTATCCATCAGGGGGTGGGGGAGGGAGTCTCGTTCTCGGTCTCTGCCTTGCTCTTTCTCTCTGCCTTGCTCTTGGCCTTGCTCTTGGCTTCTGCCTCATACTCACTCTATCACTCGCAGTCTCTCTTTCCTTTATTTGTTTTGTCCTTGGTCATACAGTGAAACTTAGTTTTTTTCACATTGTAGCATCAGACAATGAAGAGAGTTTTGTTAAACCCAGCATTATGAATTTGTTTTAGTTGGAGGAAGAATTAAATGTAGGCTGGGATGGGAGGTGGGAAATAAACTTTGATGTATTAGTGAAGGAAATGCAAAGACTGATAAAACTTCACAACTTCATTTCTTTATGTCTTCTTAAAATGAGAAATTATGTTCTTATAGGATCAGTAGTATTTTAAATATCCAAACCCTGTGCTAAGCACAACACCTAGGAGAATCAACATCAAGGAACAAATCAAAGCTGTTTTTGTGGGCTAGTTTTGACAGCAAGTGGAAACACTGTGTGTGTGTGTGTGTGTGTGTGTGTGTGTGTGTGTGTGTGTGTGTGTGTGTGTGTGTGTGTGTGTGTGCATACGTACACATGTACTTTTTCTTAAGTATTTATCTTCTACTCGGAAATAGTGCTTGTTTTTACTAAAGTAATTTCCTCAGTGTCTGTACAGTAATATTGACTTTGGGTTCAGATTTTCAAAGTTGGATCGGGGTAGTCATACAATTCAATTTTAATGGGAGTTTTATGATAAATCAACCTATGTGTTGGCTTTCTTCCAATATTAGAAATGCATTGGAAGTCACTTAATTTTGTCCATATATCAAATAACAGTTTCCTCACCCTGGTAGATTTGGATGTTCTCCAGATGTGCATACTTTTGTTTGTTTGTGTGGTTTTTATTTTTTAACCATTTAGTACTTACAAGGAGACAGGTAAAACAGAGGTTCCCCAGCTGTACACTTACTTTCAGTCCATGAGTAATGAGGCATCATATGGTGCTGCCTTTTTCTGGTTTGCAGCTGCCAAATTTCATTAAAATTCCTAATATTACTTTTCCATGTAAGCAGTTAGTTTAGTTGCACAAAGGTGTCATGAATGAGGGGACAATCTTCTCACAATCATGATGGGAGAGAACAGAGTCCATGGGACAATCTTTTGTAGCAGACAATGATTTTTCCTTCTGAGAATGTCCAGACATGGGCCAAATTCCTTTCTTAGTCTGTTCTGTAGCATCTAGAATGTGTTTGTGTAATTATTAGGACAAAATAAGTATATGACACTAATTGACCGTATCTTATTATAGGCTTCTTTTTTGTCGGACCAACCTGAGCCTTACCTCCCATTCCTCTCACACTTCATTGAAACCCAGATGTTTGCAACCTTCGTTGATAATAAAATTATGTCTCAGTGGGAAGAGAAGGACTCCTTTCTGCGGGTGTTTGACTCTCGAATTGAGAAGATAAGGCTATATAATGTAAGGGCTCCTGCACTGCGGACATCAAATTACCAGAAATGCAGCACTTTAAAAGAAGCAGGTATGTTAAGCTCTATCAGTGCTCAACTTATAAATAAAATTCAACTATGTAATATCTTAGTCTCCCACTTGACGTGCAATCAGTTGTTGAACCTGTTGAACTATAAGCATTGTATGTTAAGTACTTAATGGCATAATTTTACCTACTTACTTTTTTTATAACACTAAAGATGTAGGGACAGTGAATGCCTCTCCTTCACACTCCCAAGCACTCCTCACTTTCTAATTTTGAGAAGGAGTCACTTTCTGGATTGAAACAATGGCTGCCGGTGCTGCTCTGTGCTGAAATGCAGTGATTTATCAGAGCAGCACTGGGTAAAGAGGCTGAGTTCTTCTGTCTGGGTCATTGACAGAATTCTTCCCTCTTAGTTGTAAGAAGCCAGGTTATGATGCTCTCTGTTTTGGGTGGGATGAAGAGACAAGAACTGACTGGGGAGATGTCAGCAGATATAGCTATGAATGGAACCTTTAGGCCAGGTACAGACATTACACTTTTATCAGTATAAGTGATCAGAAACTGGTCTATACCCGTGACAGAACAGAAGTTTGGCGCACACAGACTGGTTTAAAAATGGAGGAACTCGGTGTTAAGCTTTGTCCCCCTCTTCCCCGCTCAGCAAAGAGTTAAGGTGCGTTCTATTCACTACCCATCTGAACTACGCTGCTTATAGAAAACCACGTAACTTGGATCCATTCTCTCAGGCTTTTTGAATGTCTGTACCTAGCCTTACTGGCTCCAGTGATGGAAATATTTATATGCTGTTTCACAGTGCACTGGAAGTTGGGTGTTTTATACTCTCAGGGTATATTTTCAAAGTAATGGATGGGATTTTTGCCATGTGAACAGGTTTACATCTAAATTCCACCATATCACAGAAGGAATGAACCCCTGAATTAAGATATACAAAAAAATGATTTGGCTAGATGTAGTTTTTATATATATTCAAAGATTTGTTTTAATTGTTCAATTGCTTGAAAGCCTAGCTTACTTCTGCTTTTCAGAAAAAAGTGAGCTATGCATGTTGTTGTTGTTGTTGTTGTTGTTGTTGTTGTTGTTATTATTATTATTATTATTATTATTATTATTATTATTAAAAATAGTTCTAATTTTCAGGTCGCCTGTCTATTCAACAGCTAATCTCAGTTGATATTGTGGCACTGGAACCTCATATTCTGTGTCGTGAAATGCAGCAAGTTGATAGTAATTCCTTCATGTTTATCAGTTGCACAATATTAAGCCCAACACCAGTCACTTTGTTTATCTAACCAAACTTTTTCTGGGGCACTCAGAGCAGATATTTAATCTTCCATTCTTGCACTATGCTGTACTTAGTTTTATTTTCTTTTAATTACAGTATAATGTAAAATTCCCTATTAAAAATTATTTCCGATAACAAAATGTCCAAAAGACCTCCATACCAGTATCCGAGTCTTCACAGGACTGTAAAAAGGAAAAGGGCTATGGGTTCTGTTCTTAACAAAATATGTAATGGATTTGGCTTTTCCATTCCAATATTTATTCACCATTGGAAGCATTAAAGCTAAAAAGTTATTTGTCCTTGGATATGGGCTGTAAAAATTAATTGCAGTAGTGCTGGGAAAATAGATTTCTCCACTCCTTATTCTGAGTCACCGGTTGGGAGCTTTCTGTCTTGTGATAGAGACTTGAGATGAAATCTCTCTCATGGACTTCAGTGAAGCCAGGATTTTACCCTCTGTATTCTAGTGTGTTCCCTCTCTGACCCTAATAGCTCCCAATTTTTTCTTCTTTTTACGGTCCTCAACCTTTGGCCATCTCAGCAGTTTAAGGCTCCCTTCAGAACCAGTCATTAGTAGCAATGTAATTTTTAGGAGGATGACTTTAATCCCATGACTTTTCCAGGATTCCTCCTGGCCTCTGGGCTTTGTCTGCCTAAGAAAATAAACGGGGAGTCAAAGACGCACAGAAAGCTGCTATATATGGATATCTGAGTTGGCCTTTGTATTCTAAGTTTTAGTGACACAGACCACAACATTTGAGTCATTGATTCAAGTTAAACTGCTCCTTTTCTCAAAAAAAACAAAGATATGGTTATCCTTCAAAAATGAGTTGTTACTAATAGTCTGCACTAAATGTCTGCTTGTTTAATATTCATCACTGCTGGTTTCCTGGGTCTTATGAAAGACGTTTCAACTGACCTGCCCCAATACTAACAGATGCTTAAGTATGACATGAAATAATGGAGCACAAATGTTTCTTTGTTTGCATAAATGAAGATTTTCAGGGCTATTCTTTTGATCTCGCTGGATCATGCCTTCTCCCTCCTAAAAGTGAAATATTTCTTTTAGGTGCCAAACACCATATAAATGAACTGCATTCTCTGCTTTGTAAAGAAATCAGTTAGCTGAATAATGCAGTGTTGTATGACTCTGTATTTCAGTTTCAGAATGTTGTTTTGATGCCAGGCTTTGAGATGTAATTTTCCTCAACTGAAATGACTTAAGAGTACTGCAAGCAAAGGATGCTATGACTCTATGCGAATGTGTTCCTCTCATCACTTGCTATAGCAACTCCTTTTCCTTTGAGTAGTCCTGTACGTTCAGCTGGGAAAGACTGACATTGAGTACATGGAGCTAGGAAAATGAAAATGTTTCTGCGCTTCCTCAAGATGTAGGGCAGTTTTTCTGCATCACTATTTAAGCATACAGTAACTTTCTAACACGGTCAGTTAATTCAGTAGATAAATTACAGCAAATTGCAGCACAGTTAAACCTTCCTTTGTAGAGATGCTTATTTTAGCCCACTGAATTGATTATTCATGTATGACTATAATTTGCAGCCCAGTCCATTGAACAGCGACTAATGAAGATTGATCACACTGCTATCCACCCCCACTTACTTGACATGAAGATTGGTCAGGGCAGATATGAACAGGGGTTCTTCCCAAAGCTGCAGTCAGATGTGCTGGCAACAGGACCAACAAATAACAAGTAAGCACCCTCTTTATTTCGTAGACTTCCAAACAGGTTTCTACTATGATAGATCCACTCCCATGAGCAGAAGTCAGAGATCCTAGGTATTTTTGTCCAGTTTAGTGAAATAGGGGCAATACTTTCCATTCTTTCTATCTGGGAAATAACAACTTTGGAGTTTGCAAGTAAAATATTTTTTATGCATCTTTTTAATCTCTGCCTAATTCTAGTTTTGGCACCAGCTCCACCATGGCCATTTTGTTTGGTTCAGTCATATGCTTATCGTTTCCCCTCATGCTCTCTATCTTTATTTTTTTGTTTTGTTCTTGCTCTGAGGTGCCATTCCCTCTTCTGGACAGAGCTAAGGTCATGCAATCCTTTCAATTTTCAAACAGCACTTCAGATTCTTAAATGACATTCTAACACACATCCATCTCATTTTGAAAATTTGGTATCATCCTTCAGAGCAGCATTAGTCAAATCCTTCCTATGCTGCTTGTTATGGACACATGTTCAGCAAAAAAAAACTATACTTGTTTTGTTGTCTCACTTCCTAAACTAGTAGAGAATAACTTGAGGAGATTGCGAAGCATGTTTGCCCATGGTTGGGCCATTTACTTGAATCTGCATCAAGTCCTGGAGTTTGCTTTGATTTTCTTCTGTTGTGTAACTTATTTTGGTAGGAAAACTTGTGTTTTTGTTTCATAATAATAAGAATTCTGCCACTGGTAGCAATATATTGTAAAATCCAGAAGGCTTGGTAGTTGAAAGATATTGTTAAATGTACATGTGTAGTATGATTTGTGAATTTAAGAATAATTTCAGTGACAACAGCTGGTGTAAGGCAATGAGTGATGTAACAGATTGCATTTTGCCCTGCTCAACCCTTTATCACCTAGTCCAGGGGTGGGCAATGTTTTTTGGCCAGAGTGCTGAAAAAACCACAATGTCTACCTTGGAAGGTGCCAGAGTGCCAACACGCCGGAGTCCAGAGCAGCTGTTTGCAGCCTTCTAGCTGCAGCCGGCCCACGGAGCCTGGTCTGCTTGCACCACAGCTTGCAGCCTCCCAGCCGCCTGCTGGGAGCAGCCTGGGCTCTGTGGCTGGCAGCAGCTGCTTACAGCCCGGGCTGGTGGTGGTGTGCCGAGCAAAATGGCCTTGTGTGCCATGCTCAGCACACGTCCCAGGGGTTGCTGACCCCTGATCCTACTTGATAGGTGAAGTCAAAGCACTGAAATCATAGATAAGACCCATGAATGTGGGTATATGGTAGCCTGATGAGTCTGTAGCTGTATATCACACAACAGCTTCCAGAGTACCTTAAATTTGATTTTTTGCTTGAAAAACGTTTTAATTGCTTCAAAATGTGTGATCCCGCAAGGTTTTGGAGAAAAGAACCAGGATTGCCTTTGATTTTGTTGTGAATTTCCAGCATAGTGTCTGTTTGCTTTTGTAAAACATCAGATAAAGGATTCTTTACTTGAAAGGCAGAAAAACGTTGTCACAGAGGTGATTTGTTAATGCATTTAATGTCGCAATGTAGTTGACTTTACTGGTGTTGACCTCCTGATGCCTCCCTTTAGATGCATCAGTTTCCTGTTTGTGTTGGATACCTAAATAGACAACAAGTTATTGTCTACCTAGAATGAATCAATATTTATTCACAGTGTTGGGGTGATGTTGTGCCACTTTTTTTTATGGTTACAAATGTTTGTGAGCAATATCTTTTATTGGACTAACTCAATAGTTGGGAGGGACATAGAGAAACTTTTAGGGTACCGCTGTACCACTGTACCCTTTCTCAGGTCTCATGCATCAGGGAGTACCTGAGAACTCATCTGTCTCTCCCAACTATAAAAGATTCTACCCACAAAAATCTTTGCCTTTTCAACTGTCAGTAAGAGCTGATTGCAAAAGGAAACTTTGCCATGGTAACTTTTAAAAATCTATTTAAAAATTTTTCATTGAAAATGTTCAGTTTTTATCTAAAAAAATCAAATGTACCAATTTCCCAAGAACCTATTTTAGACATAATTTTTCTTTCAGTTTTTTTCTTTTTAAATAGAATTCAGTTTGTCACCAACTCTCTGAGCAACTGAGGATTCAAAATGGATACCACCTAAAAAATATTAGCATGAACTTGAATTTGCGGCCATCTTTTTTGGAACTTTTAAATTTAAAAATGTGTTGGACTTTCAATTAGAAATAATTTATTTTTTGAGATGCAGAGCTGTTAGCTAAGGAGTATCTTGTCTTTGAAAATCAGTCTGTACACCTTTTTAAATAAACTATGTTCACTGTTGTGGTATCCAAACAAAGATGCAGTGTGGCCCAGTTGGGTCTATGTCTGGGTTGAGTTCCTGTTTCTGCCTCTACTCTGTACCAAACCACACTGGAGAACAGGAGGAGGAGCAGCTGAAGCACCAAACCAGGAATCACTAGTACTGAAACATCCTCAGAATTTTTTTAAAATATAGATGACAATTTCAGAATTCCAAAGTGCTGTGTCAGACTTGACTTTTTTTTTTTTCAGAAGAAGAGAGGAAGGGGCAGAATATTGCCTGATTAAAAAATAGATCACCAAATTAAAAATGAGTGGTTATTTAGCGTAATCAAATTACTTTCACCTCTTTGCGTATAATAAGCATGATGTCCAAACCATTGTGTATTTATGTGTATTAACAAAGAAGAAGTGTGTGCAGAGGAGGTGCAGGGAATCGCTAGATAGATCTATGCACACTAGTACATGCACTTATGTATCTATATCAGTAAAAACAAACATTTAGCACACTAAGAAAGCCAGTTTCACAAAACTAAAAGCAATTGAACCAGATTGACCTAGAGCAGGGGATGGCAACGTTTTTGAGCAAAGTGCCAAAAACATCCGCAAACTCAACTTGTAAGATGTTGGTGTGCCAGGGGCGAACATTGGGGGAGCTGCAAGGGGCCCAATCCTTGTCGTGGCAGCACAGCTCCAGCCACTTGCCCACCATCCACCCCAAGGCACACGTGCTAAACAAAATGCCTTGACATGCCGCACTCTGGCATGCATGCCGGAGATAGCCTACCCCTGACTTACAGGGTTGGTGGGGAGTGGAATTAAATTGAAAACTAGGAAATGGAAGGCTCCTCAGTCTAGCATAGCAAGGTGTAAAAAGAACTAGTGATGAGATGTTCAAATTAGATATATTTAGATTATAAATAAGGTGCCAGTTTTTAAACAGTGAGACTTCTGATTATGGGGACAACATACCAAGGGTTGTGATGGGTTCCTTATCTCTGGAAACTTTTAAATCCAGATTGGATGTTTTTTTTAAAGGACATGCTGCATTTTATCCACAGCTATTAGGTTAAAACAAGAATTAATTTAGGAAAGTCCTATGGCCTTTGCTATACATAAGGTCGGAACAGATTATCACAGTGAACTCTTAAAGCCTTAAAAATCTGTGAATATAATTCAGGCTTAATACTTTATTTTGCCTTCTTCTGACATGGCCTCCCCATAAAGCAAAAAGCCAGTATCGCAATCTTTTGAAAGCAGGTACCCCTCCCCACCCGCCTTCAGGAAACCAGTGCACATGTGCGTGTGTACACATACTCTACTCCCACAGTGTGATGTTAAAGGCTTGCACATCATGCGTCTTTCCTCACTTCTAGTCCTAGCTAGTCCTTATTGCTCCTCTCAGTTTGGGAAGTACTAGAGTACATCTTTGTTAGATGTTACTACTGTTTTTTGCTTGCATGCTTTGAACAGTAACTAGCATGATTGGCTTCTGACTGAGCACTTCTAAAAGATGATGTGCATATTCTAGCTATCATTGGAGCCTCTCTGCAAACTCAGACAGAGATTTGCATTGGTTACTCACTTGACATGTTCTCAGGTTTTTGGAAATGTTGCGTTAAGCTGTCTGTTTGCTTTGTGGCACAAACAGTTACCCCAGATCAGCTAAGCCAGCAGTAAGAGTTTTTAAAACTTCCCAACCTGCTCAGTATATTATACATACTTTTGCTCAAATATATACTGCTAGCAGATTAGTCAGTAAACACAAAAATAATCCTAGGTTTTTCTAAACCTCTCAAAGATACTTCCTGAAGATCAGTAGTTCCCTTTAGAAAGTATTTTTTACTCCTTGGGTGTTAAATAAGCTTGTATCAGGTCTAAAGATTGTAAATAGCAAAGTATTTTCATTTCAGAACTTCTAAAGCTGAAACCATGTTTGCTGACCACGAAGTGATGACAAAGAGCGTGGCAAACGTAGATCTTCAAATGTTATAAAAAAAAAAATAGTAAATTGAACTTGTAGACAAAAGGACTAGTCTTTCTGTTGCCTTTCCCTTCACATAAATTGTAGATTGGCCAAATATATGCAGGAAATATAACTAGGCTACATACACATATTGAATACTGATCCCATGAAGAGCAGAGAGCTTGCAGTACTGATGCTGTGCAGCCAGGACGACCCTGTGCGATATACATCTCAAGGTCCTCTGCAGACTGCCCAGAGATAGGGCTGCCCTATGCACTGCTGCCATCCTGATTGTCTGGCCCAGACTGTCTGTGTCTCCCTGCAACACAATATGGAGCATGTTCTGTTCTCTGTTTGGCAGGAGCAGCACAGTCCAGTGAGCAACGCACTCTTGAGGGGTAGGAGGCGGAGCAAAGTATCCTGGGGTGCTCCAGGACTGTGGTGTGACTTCTTCCAAAAGAGAATGTGTACGGATATTTGCTCTCCCAGAAAATGTAATCCTTGTTCCCAAGTTATTTTTCTCCTGGAGTAGCCATTTTTGCTCTGGGAGAAAAATCCTGGATTTCTGTACACTCATGGTTCCTCCTCGGAGACCAATGACTCTCCCAGAAGAAACTGAATGTCTTTACATGGCCTTAGAGATTTTATACCTAAATACAAGATGACTGACTGACTGGAAAACTTTCAGGTAATATAGTATGTAACCTTCCTGACATAATACACACTACATTTGTGACTTTCAGCTAGTGCCATGGCACTCTGGGGTGCCTTGA